AGACTTTAGTATAGAGATCGGAACAAACCCTAAATCCTGAACCCTAAACCGTATAAGTCATGAGACCGAAGGCCCGTAGAATTATCCTCATCAAATCATCCCGCAAAGCTGTTCGAATTCTATGCCAAGGCCCCTGTATCAAAGAATGCCCTGTAAGAGTCTATACAATGCTACGAACCCTTACAAAATCCGGAAACAAGCGAACAATGCCAGCAACAACCCCTTCGGTGCCTTCCCTAAACCCTAAACCCTAAACCCCTAAACCCTAAACCAAGAGGCCACTTCTGGGAGGCACGAGAACCAGGCCGACTCTCTGCGGGCATCGTGAGTTCTTAGAGTCTTAGAGGCTACTATGGTACGTTTAGAGAGAACCCCCAAAAGTTGGAACATGGATGTCGGATGAGTAGTGCTGGGATCCCCTGTACTACCTTAAGGGCATGAGGATATTGATGTTCCAACTTTCTGGCTTCTACTTCCTAAGGAGTGTACAGGTGCTGTAAGAGCGTGATCGGCCGTTGAATGATGTTTATAAGGTGTTTAGGTGCTGTGTAGGTGTTCACTAGCCTTGTTAATTAGCCCCAAACCCTTTCCCTAAACCCTGAACCCCTAAACCCCCCTAAACCCTAAACCCCCCGAATCCCTAAACCCCTAAACCCCTAAACCCCTAAACCCCTAAACCCTAAACCCTAAACGCCTCAACCCCTAAGCCCTTAACCCCTAAACCCTAAACCCCTAAACCCTAAACCCCCAAACCCTTAACCCCTAACCCCTAAACCCCAAACCCTGTTATCTTCAAGGGGAAACCTTCACAGGGCTTTTGTGGGTGCGTGGTGGCTTAGGGTTTAGGGTTTAGGGGTTTAGGGTTCAGGGTTTAGGGTTTAGGGGTTTACGGGGTTAGGGGTTTACGGGATTAGGGGTTTAGGGTTTAGGGCGTGACTAAGTTCCCCAGTAGTACCCTTTTGCCCTTTTTGTTTTTAAGGCCGCTTGTTAAAGCCAAGTAGTAGGAAAAATGTACCCTTATAATTAAGGGGCAACTAGGGGACCTGGGTGAAAGGATGTGCATCGTACACCCCTGCAACGGGCCGACCTTCTCTTGGCGTTCTTTTGGTTGGCTCTTAGGACTTTCATTTTTGGGGTTGCTATATGAACTTTAGTAAGTAGGCCAAAAGCTTAACTTTAGGAGGGGTTCAGAAGTCAGCCAAGGTACACCCCTGCAACGGGCCAACCTTCTTCGGACAACGTTTACGGTTCTGAGCCACTGAGGAATTAGGTGTTGGGGTCGTTTTTTGCCGTACAACATAGGTATCGGGTATCCTGTCTGGAAACATAAAGGCAAGAGTGCTTGGCAATGAGACAGAAATTGACCATGCAAAAAGCTGACACCCCAAACCCTAAACTGATTTACCGCGGGTGTTTGTTTGAATGGTGGCATGGCCGGGAGACAGCCGGAGCGCATTGCAAATGTGGGAGTATCGAGTCCCACACTGGACTGTGTGTGTGTGATCTTCTGGGAAGTAAAAGGCAGCGTGAGGCAAGGTGGAGTGGACAAGGGATAATATAGAAGCCTCAACAATTACCAATACTATTTTGGGGCCTCCTTATTCTAATCATAAATCATGGGAGCCGTCCAGGTGCTGGGACCTGAAGAGAAAGATGCCGAAAGGAGTATCAAAAAAATCTGCGCGTCGCAGGAGGACAGCAAGAAGATTCGTTTCTCGTGGCTCCCGATGTTGAAGAGAGTTCATCTGGCCTATAATACTATAACTATAACAAGGAACCCCCGAAAAGAGTATTGGTAAAACTTTAGGCCCCTAACATGAACCATGTCTGCACAGACAGCGGAGGAGCTCCGGGTGTTGCAAGGCTCCATGTATCACGGACCCTAAACCCTAAACTGACGAATGACGAACTGGGCACGATCGATGCAGTCGGAAAGCAAGGAACCTGTTGGATGCAATTCTGGTGGACCCAGAGAGCCCAATAGAATATACCTTAAATTTTAGGTTTTAGGGTTTAGGATGTATAAGAGGCTGAATACTATGATTTATTGATATTCCTGAATTGGGTGGGGGGGGGTGGTATTGGGCTCTCTGGGGATGTCTTGCCAACACAAGGGAGACTTTTGGCGGCAAACGTGTGCGACATTGGTCCGTTGCCAGCCGTGATACTACGTAGACATCGTCTAAATCCGTTTCTTTCAAAAACTGCAAACATGCATGGCCGAGGTATGCGAGGCAAATGTTCGACGAAGTAGGATGTGCATATCCGGTCACGGCTTTCCAAGCTCATAACATCCGAAGCCTGAATCTACGCAATCAGTGACAGTAGTCTTTAGGGTTGTTTGTTAATGTCTTACCCATATCGTATGTAAGATAGACCCTCTTCCAAAACCCTTAGGCCTCTACATTACTACTTAGGGGCTCCTGGCTTTTGGGGAAGTAAAGGTTGTCCTGATCATAAACTTACTTACAAAGTCCCATGAGCCCTTCCCTAAACCCTAAACCC